AGTGAGTGGGATCCAAAAACGCCTTCGAACTACGTCCAATTACAAAAGCAAGCTTCCTCAATTAAAGCTTTGCTAAAAACGCGCTCACAAAGCCCACCTAGCCCGCTTAACTCCGCGATAAATCAGGTTTTAAAGGCTTGTCAAACTACGATGTATTCAACAGCTTTACTCGAGAAAGAAGTAAGCGAATTGCGCGCCGCAAACGAGACGAAGAAGCGAAAAAGGACTCGGTCTAAAAAGCAAATAGCTTCCGAAGAAGGCCTTACAGTTTTAGAGGCCTCTACCTTAGCAGCGCAGCCAGAGCAAGCAGTTTTAGCACAAATACCCCGTGAGGCAGAATCGGCTCCGACACCTTCACAGCCACGTAAGAGAGCCTTACCGAAGTGCAGTATAGGTGGAATTCAGGGTCATAAATTGACTACATGTCCTAATAGAACTCGTTTTCAGCTTATTGAATTTAATGGCGTTTTGGTTGAGATAAATGCATTTAAAATTGATAGGTTGGGTGGGGTGGCCAACTCGGGGGTGTGGCCAACTCACTAGTGAATCACGTTAACACTTTAAACCAAACCGTAAAGATCTTTCCCCCCTATGCTAAGACCATCGAGGAAGTGTAATCCCTAAGGCTACATAGTCCTTTGCTCATACCATACGAAGCTCACCTTAGCATTCTTTACAATTAGGAATAAGTTCCCCCTATGCTATAGTCACACCTCCCCTTGATTAGAAAAGTAATCACGGCTTCTTTGTCTATTAGGTAAAAGCCATCATAAAACGGTGGAGACTAGCCTTACCCAACGGAACCCTAAACCCGAAGGGAGACGAGAATTCCGGGAATATGACTCCTATAGCTCGGTAAGAATAATATTTGATAATTGTCGGGATCACGTGACGCGTTCCCAGTAGTAGAACTGAGCCTTAGCTAGCTCTCTCTCTCCTTTTCTCTCTCCTCCGTCTCCACCCGTCGATCATCAGCCCTTTTACTAGACAGCGGTTATCATCACATTCATTGCTTCATATGTCTCTCTTCCTGTGATCCCAAGAGTCATTGAGATGATGAGACAGTTTATGGTCCGTGGAACGAACAGTCCAATGCAATGCCTTTTAGACCTCAGTACGTACAGGTTAACGATCCATTACGGCGCGAGTCTCGGCTCGCTTATTCAATCAGGTGACATGAACTGCAACTTAACGTAATTACCAAGCGAGTGAGCCATCTGCCCAGGTACAGCAAAACCTCGTTATAAAGAGAGAAGGGATACAGCCGTAATTTTTCTTTATAGACAAGATTTCATCACGAAACCTACGTGTTCCGCTTGATGTGGCCCACTCGGCTGCCAACTATGATGAGTATCAATCAATCAATCAATCAAAGTTCTATTAACCTGTTGGAGCCTAACTAGTATCGTAATGGCTATGCAGGCGCTTCTTTCCGGTCGAAGCAAGAACTCGTGTCCCGTACGCCTGATCATGCTCCAGTACAGAACTTGAGCTGGTCCTCGAAGCGAGAGAGAGTACCAGCCCTACATGAAGGTCAAATAAGCCAAAACCCGTTACCCAAAAAACCAGTACAAATGAATGCGTGGATGCACCGTCCACCTCTCCTGTCCTCAATCTCACAAGATATATAAACTCCTCCGCATCAAGTTCCCAGCCAGTTGGTACTGCTGCAAGATCCAGCCCCGTTCTCCGACATCCTCACTTCTTCCTCAACTGGGTGTTGTGTTGCTTAGTGCCCACACCGGCAACGTGTATTCGAATAGCTCATCGAGGTTCTCTCCACCCTCGACGGTGTTGGCAAGCATTGGGTAGTGCCCAGCGTCTTCGGGACTCTGCTCCATGACCTCGAGGTCTTCATCTGGTTCGTCATCGGACTCTTCTTGATCAGCGTGTTGAAACTGAGCAAGAAGACCGGTTTGGTGCATAAATTTAGTAACGTAGCGGGTTGCCAGCGGGTTTGAAACAATGCTGTCATAATTCGACAGTTCAGATGGCCCAATTGCTCGATGCAACTGGTCAAAAAGCTTCTTTCCCAGTGCGCTAAAGGTCTCACATTGAAGCAAGACATGCCTCGGTGTCTGAGAGCCTTCTCCACAGGGGCATTTGTCCGACTCTACCTCATTGATCTTATATAGGAAATGCTTCAGTGCAATGCGCATTGATCGCATTTGTATCATGATCGATGACCGCGGTTTCGAAAGACATTCGTGCAAAGGTAAGGTCTTCTTGCTTGGCCACTCCACCAAGCGCTTCGTGGGCTGAGCGGTCCTCTCGCTCTCCCACTGCTTCTTCCAGTGGTCCTGGATCCGCTCTCGGACCATCCGTTTCGCCGCGGCGGCTAGTCGGATGGTCGGTTGATCCGTTCCGGTACCCCCGCCGGTCGCACCTCCGGCAAATTCGAGGGCCGCGCATTTCGCACTGCCATCGGCAGCTTCAATTGTGATGAGTACAGGCAGGCTCCAGGGGGTTGGTTTCTCAGCCGAAAAAAATCCATCTCTCTGGAGACGTGGCAGAAGGGCCCAAAGGGGAAGGCGGTGAAGGGCGATCTTTGATTAGATAGCAGGAGAACTAGCTTGACGGGGGGAAAAGCAGTCGGGCCGAGGAAATGGAAATGTCAGAAGGAAGATAGTAGGACCGAAGAAATGGGTCATGTGGACAGCTAGAGGGTCCTTTCCAGTTTTGTATTCTTAACTTTTCAGAACTCTTCATGAGCATTAATCCATCCATTGTTTCCCTGCTTCATCTTTTCCATCAAGAGTAACCCTTGAATCATCAGTTTCAGGTGCCCAGGAAGACAATCCCGAGGACTGAAGTCGAGTGGATAGGAAGAATTCGGGGACGAGGGATCGGAGGTCAGGTGACCAGCCATCTGGAGTCTGGGTCCGAAGGTCCTTATATTCTCTCGACATAGCTCAGTCTTCTCTTCCCTTCTCCATCTCAATGTCTTAGCACGAATGGACTTTATCCCCTAGACTTGCCGCATCGCCGTGCTGGACTTCGCCGAGGCGTCACAACGGGTTCAAAGTCGCGCGCCACGAGGGAAGCCTAACAATAGGAGCGGCAATTAGGCCGCGATAGGCCTTGACGAGGCTCTAAGTTCGTTTTCAGGAAGTGGGACATTCTACATGCACGTACACGGATATATATAGTTGTTGTAGCCTATATATCGCTTCGGCGAGGGGTCGGGGTAAATGATATCGTCCATCCATCCATTCATCCTGTATCTTGTGGCCTCAAAGTTCTTCCATTTGATCTTCAGCCAAAGACACGGATCAGACTTGTATTTTTTTGTTTAGATCTTTTCTTTCTTCAGAAGCAACTCCGTAGATTCCACAACGTTGTCTTTTGTATACCGCCAGCTTTTGTTCCCTGAACCATCTGTGATTTGGGAGATTCGCAATCTTCGATCGGAAATGCTGTTCATGTCGTAATTGGTATATCCATTTCTGTATTTGGCTTTGTACCTGGCTCCATGGCTAGGTCCGTACTGCAGAATGACGGAGGTTTATCCTCGCAGGGTTCCCAACATGCATCTACAATCGCGTCGATTTCCTCGTCATCATTCAAGGGATCAAGGCGAGCTAGAACTTTTGGATCTTGGGGCTTGGTAGCACTTCGGGCATTGGGCGACAGACCATCTTGATTCATGAAGGGCGTTCATGCCCACTCGAGCTTGATCCGGCTCCAGTCTGGTTTATCAAGCCAGCGTCATGCATCGGAGTGTCATCTCTCTCGATGGACTCCATCACTGACCAATGGGATGGCGGCAATTGGTTGGCTTGGTCAATCGGATCACTGTTATCAAGATGACCGTCGTTCTGCATGCCTGACACATTGTCTGCCCAATGGGGTCCTTGCGAAACAGACACCTGTAAATCTGCGCTATTAATCTTTGCAGGAGATATCAAGTTGCTGTTCGCTAGTTGTTCCATTTCAACGACATGAGAACGTCTTCTGTCCTCGGTGGTAGATTTTTAGTAACTCTACCATTGTTTGGGGCCATATTGAGAGGACAACGCGCGATGTTCTCCGCGAAACGCAAAGTCTTCACGCTGTTGGTGGCGGGTATTTATGCATTTCGAGATATTAAGTGAAGACGCAAGACCGGGATATTGAACACATATCTTTGCGCGAATCTTATTTTTGAAATTGCACCACAACCAGGCCACTTACGGCTTCGAAACAATTGCAGTTTATTCGTAACTTCCTGCTGCATCATTTGATACCAATTTTATATTGGTAGACACAATGGTTGCCCCAGGAAGCCAGTGGCCCGCCCTTTCAGGGGGGTTGTGCGAAACCTCTGCCAACACCAACATCAACGAACGCGCTCTCGCAATCAACTACGACATTCAGCAGCTTATAGAGCATGTCGGCAAGGGCGCCAAAGTCCCTTCTGTGGTATTGGAGCATCTGAAGATCGTCCGCGAATTCACGGTCGACCTGATGAAGAACCCCCTGGGTGCGGAGTGGCGCCGGGAGTTCGCAGACATGAAGCAGGAGATCATGGAGATCCGTAAGGACATGCACGGTGTCCGAATCGCAACTGCGGCGAGCAAGACCACTGAATCAGGACCCCGAGTCCGATCGTACGTCGAGGCCGTTAGATGAGGCACAACGGCACCTGCCCACTTCCTCTCTGCTCACGGTTCTGACAGCACCCAGGCGGCCAGCCCCTCCGAGCTCTGGAAGGACCGTGAAATCATTGTCAAACTGGGTGATGCCGATGGCATTGCTCACTTCCGATCGATGAAGAGCTCGGAGATCAAGGACAGAGCTGAGAAGGCGAGGACCCGCGCTGCGACCGTGAGCCCTGTTTTGGCCGCCATCCAGTTCGTGGCAGCTCGTCAGTTAGAGTCTGGAAATGTCAGCCTAACGCTGAGATCGGCCAAGAACGCTGAGGCTGCTCGAATTCACCGGGGCAAGTGGGTGCAGCATTTGTGGAAGAATGCTGAAGTCCGGCTACCGTCCTGGGGTGTCGTGGTCCACGACGTGAATGTGAGGTCTTTGGGAATCAACCGGCCGACGGAATTGAAGGAGAGGCAGGAAGCAGTTAGCAAGCCGCTATTGACGCAGAACCTTCACTCGTGGGGGGATGCAGAGATAACTCACCTTGCCTGGCTCGTACTACCTGAGGGAAAGAAGTCGGGGTCTATGATCGTTGAATTCAGCTCGCCGTACGTCGCTAACAAGGCTATCGACTGCAATGCCATTTGGGACTCCGCCGTCCTTACCACGGTTCTATACGACCGAGCTGCTAGGATCCGTCAATGCCACCGTTGCCAAAAATACGGACACATAGGAAGGACCTGCTCCGGTCAACCGACATGCGTCTTCTGTGCCGGGGATCACCTCTCTCCGGAATGCCCTGGCAAGATAGACGCCAGCTTGATGAATCGAAAGTGCGCCAACTGCGGTGGCGCACATGCTGGGTGCTTGAAACGATGCCCCGATTACCTGGCGGAGTTAGATAGGGTGAAGGAGTTGGAAATGAGGCGTGAGCGGTATCACCGTATTCCGGCTTACCTATCTATCTCGGATCCTGCTCCGAGGATGGCAGGATCTAGCAGCTCAGGCTCAGGCGTCAGCCGGGAGCCAGTGAGCTTAGATCCAACACCGAGGGAAGCAGCTTCCATGGGTAGCGGCCGTGGAACTGCGAAAACTGTAACATCTCGAAGCAATCCTGTTTCGACCCAGAGAACTAGCTCTGTGAAGAGCAGCAAGCCGGCTACCGCTACCGCTGCCAAGAAGACAGTTAGCAAGCCGACCAAACCGACCAGCGTAGCCACTGGAGGCAATGCCACAAGCATTGCCACCAGAAGCATGGCCAGCCAACCATCCGATGCCTCCATTGCGAGAACCCCGGATAACCAACAGACCAGGGATGCCGAGTGCTTCCCGATGGACATCGATGTCAACATTGAGTTCGACAACCCAGCCAAGCAAGCTGGTCTGTACCAGTCGAAACACGCGCCTCGATCGGAGCCAGTACGAACAAGAAGCCGTGCCGCGGCGTCATCCCAGGCGTCATCCCAGGCCCCGTCGACATCAACACCAGCAATCATCGGAAAGAGGCGAAAGACCACGGCACCGGAAGGGGACTCGGAGGTATCGTGGAACCCACCGTCATCATCATCGGCGCTTGCCGAAATAAACAGCAACGGGTCAGTGGCGAGGAAGGCCAGCAAACCGACTGCCCCCGGCAAAGAGAACCAACCCGTCTCCGACACCACAAACCGCGACACCCATAGCGGTACCAAAAGAAAGCACTTAGAGATAGACACGAATTCTCTTACTATAAGAAGCAATAGAGGGTCGGTAGCGAAGAAGGCCACGATATCAGTGGCTTCAGGCAAAGGGAGCCAATGGCCGATTTTCGACATCGTCAGCCGCGACACCCACGAAGGAGAGGGATTCAGGGTCGACATCAGCTTCTCCGACACGAGCGGTCTTAGCAACATCACCGGTAGCAATGCCGAGGCCGAACTCACCAATACTCCTTCCAATGAATAAGACAACTCTCGAAATACTCCAATACAACGTCCACCGCTCGAAGGATGTCGTCATGGCAGACTTCCTCCGGAACCCCAGGGTTCTCGAAGCCGATATTATTGCGATTCAGGAGCCGTGGGAGAACCCGTACACCGAAACGACACATCAACCGGCGAAGCAGACCCATGAACTGGTCTATCCAAAGTCAAACGAATGTCAGGGAGAGAGAACCCGCGTCTGCATGCTAATCTCGAAGCGAATGGGCCAGTGGACGCACCATGCGTATGGGAGAGATGCTCAGGAGGTGAGAATTGCACAACAGGGCGAGCAGGGAGAGCTTGGGATCTTCAATATATATAACCCCGTGGGTTGTATCGATACGATCATGAAGCTCGAGGATCTTTTCGGCCGAAATATAAAGTCCAGTATTGTTATAGGTGATTTCAATCTCCACCATCCAGCTTGGGGTGGAGATAGCGCCGTCCAGGACACTCATGCGGATGCTCTCATTGAACTGACCGACTCGGCGGATCTGGATCTCTGGCTGGCCCCCGGCACTATTACCCGCGACGAGGCGGGGCATAAGACTACCATAGACCTCGTCTTTGGATCTCACGACTTGTCTGAACGCTTCCTCACATCGGAGATCGCTCACGAGTGCCACTCACATTCCGACCACTTGCCAATACGTACGATACTCGACATTCAGACCTCTGCTCCTGCCAGAGCACCTAAACGGCGCAACTGGAAGGCCATGGAAACAGAGAAATTCGACAAATTCGTGGCCGCGAACCTCCAGCAAATGCCACTGCTTCAAAATCTCAACACGCCACAACAAATCGATACGGCAGTCGACCATCTCATTGAGATCATCAACCGGGCCGTTGAGGAGTCCACACCATGGGCCAGACCTAGTCAATACGCCAACCCGGCATTCACTAGCGAATGCCGACAGGCAGTGAAAGAGACCCGGCGTCTATTTAGACGCTATACGGCTACGCATAGCGAGGAAGATTGGGAGATCTACAAGTCAGCAAGAAACGAGAAAGGAAGGGTTATAAAGAAAGCACTTAGAACTGGATTCCGTGAATTCGTCAAGGAGGCTATTGACCGAGGACCCCAGGGTCTCTGGCGGATGTCTAAATGGGCGAGGAATCGAGGCCAAGAACAAAGCAGTATAATGCCTCCGCTAAAGACGGCGGACGGCATTGCTGAGTCGACGGATGAGAAGGTCCAGGCACTGCGTGAGGCCTTCTTTCCTACACCTCCCGATGCTGATCTCTCAGACATCACCAACTCAACGAAACCCCCGATTCCGTTTCCTCTTATTTCGAAGCAAGAACTCACCGACGCAATACGGCGTGCACCTCCAAACAAAGCTCCCGGAGCTGACGGCATTCACAATAAAGTGTGGATACTGGCAGGCGAATCAACCTCACGGCGCGTCTTCTTCTCCACAATCCTCGACATCTTCAATGCTTGCTTACGCATTGGCCGTAACCCCCGGCATTTTCAGACCTCGATCACAGTGACGCTGAGAAAGGCTGGACCTAGAGACTACCGCCTACCCAAGGCGTATCGGCCCGTGGCCTTGCTCAATACGCTAGGCAAGGTTCTTGAAGCAATAATTGCTACTCGAATCGCCTGGGCCGTTGAAGAGTATCGGCTGCTGCCTGACACTCACCTTGGTGGAAGGAAAGGCATCTCTGTGGACCATGCTATCCAGTTGATCCTCGATCGGGTCCACACAGCCTGGGGCCATGGCCAAGGTCAGAAAGCAAGTATGCTGCTCCTCGATGTCGCTGGCGCCTACGACAACGTGTCACATGAAAGATTCCTTCATAACATGCATCAAATGGGGCTTGAAGAGCTAGTACCATGGGTGCAAGCTTTTCTAACGGGTAGACATACACGGATCCGCCTACCCGGCCACCTCAGCGACGCGTTTCCTACCCCGACAGGTATCCCGCAAGGCTCTCCTATCTCACCGATCCTCTTTCTTCTGTTCAATGTGCCCCTGGTTAAGAACTTCTCTCTAATCACTGGCTACGGCCGTACCGAGGCGTTTGGCTGGGTGGATGATGTCTGCATCCTAGCTGTCTCAAATAGCTACGAAGAAAACGTTTGGCTTATTGAGAAAGCTCTCCAGAGAGCTGATCAGTGGGCCAAGCGTCATGCAGCAAGGTTTGCACCCGACAAGTTCGAGCTAATCCACTACAACAACCCACGTATCGCCATAAAGCATTTCCAAACGATCTCTCCGAGTCCTTCCTCCGAATACGATGTCTGGGCCGTCCCCGATGACCCCTGTGGTCATGACCAAATGTCAGTGGCAGTGCCAGGCGGAGCACCGATACAACCATCAGAACACGCCAAATACCTCGGCCTTTGGCTTGACAAGCACCTCAAATTCGATATACACCGAAAAAAAGCTGCTTGCTAAGGCGGCCGGCAGCCTGGAAGCTCTTCGGGGCATTTCAGGGTCTACGTGGGGTGCATCCTTGATGTCCATGCGTAAGCTCTACCAGGCTGTCATTGTGCCACAAGCCCTATGGGGTATCTCTGCCTGGTATTGCCCTGCTGCGCGCAAGATACCTGCCTGGGAAATGGCTCGGCTGGTCAATGAGCTAGTGAAATTGCAAAAACGTGCGGCTGTTTTGATCAGTGGCGCATTTAAAAGCATTTTCACGGCTGCGTTGGACATCGAGCTTTTCCTACTTCCGATGAAGCTGCGCCTACAACAAAGCATCGAAGAATGCGCCATTCGCATCCTTACTGGACCTCAGTGGGCCTGTCCCCGATCGGCAAGAATGGCTAGGAAGCCGATCGAGCGGCGTATTGGAGGATGGACACCTCTGGAAGCATTGGTTTGGAAGAAGGGACCGATCAAATTGGACTGTGCGGAGAAATGGGAATCTAAGATTGCATTTGTACTGCCACCCTGGGAGAGACGAATCTCATGCTTCATTGAACCCTCGGAAGCTGCATTGGCAACCTATGACTCTCTGTATAAGAGGACCCAAAAAGGAGGTGAGACCTCCTTGGCATACACCGACGGCAGTGGCTTCGAGGGCCACATTGGTGCGGCTGCCGTCAACCTCCGCGATGCGGTATTCGACCGCAGGCATCTCGGCACGGAGAGCCAGTCTACGGTATCCGCTGCCGAGCTCAGCGGCATCGAGATGGCATTGGACAGGGCCATCAGCGACAACAAGGCCAACATGGTTAACGGAACACAATGGGAGAGTGAGAAAACGGCTCAGCCCACAAAACGCTTGGTAGAGTGGCCAAGTAAGAAGACCCTGCGCTCGAGAGGTGATCATTCTCTCCGACAGCCAGGCCGCTGTCCAGGCGGTCCAGAACCCACAGCGACCGTCGGGTCAGTACGTGCTCCGACTGATATACGATCACGTACGGACCCTTCGATCCAAATACTCGACATTTGTTACCCTCCGTGGGATCCCCGCTCATGTTGGGGTGCCTGGCAATGAGGCTGCCGATGGTAGTGCGAAATGCGCGGCCCTCGAATTCGCGGGAGGTGCGATCGGCGGAGCGGACAAACCCACCATCCGACTCGCCGCCGCGGCGAAACGGATGGTCCGAGAACGTATCCAGGACCGTTGGAAGTATACGAATGCTTGTCTAAACCCCGCTCATCGATCATGATACAAATGCGGTCTATGCGCATTGCGCTCCGGCACTTCCTATACAAGATCAATGAAGTGGAGTCTGATAAGTGCCCCTGTGGAGAAGGATCCTCTCAGACGCCGAGACACGTCTTGCTTCAATGCCAGACATACGGCGCATTGAGAAAGCGTCTATTTGACCAGTTGCATCGAGCAATTGGGCCATTTGAGCTGTCCAATTATGACAGCATCGTCTCTAACCCGCTAGCAACCCGATACGTTGCCAAATTCATGCACCAAACCGGTCTTCTTGCTCAGTTTCAACACGCTGATCAAGAAGAGTCCGATGATGAAGCTGAAGACCTGAACCCAGAGGTCATGGAGCAGAGTCCCGAAGACGCTGGGCACTCACCAACGCTTGCCAACACCGTCGAGGGTGGAGAGAACCTCGATGAGCTATTCGAATACACGTTGCCTGTATGGGCAATGAATAACAGAACACCCAATTGAGGAAGAAGGATGTCGGAGAACGGGGTCTGATCTTACCTAGTGCTTACTGGGCAGGGTCTTTGATGCAGAAGCGTGTACATGTCTCGTGAGAAGGAGAGGACATTGAAGAGGTGGAGGTGCGTCCACGCATTTATTTTTGTATTCAATGCATCACTGGCATTGGATTTTCATTTGTACTGGGCTTTTTCAACGCATTTGCGGGCTTTTATTATGGGTTTGGCTTACATGTAATGGGCTGGTGCTTCCACTCTTTGAGAACCAGCCTCACCTTTGTACTGGAGCATGATCAGGCGTACGGACACGAGTTCTTGCTTCAACCGGAAAGAAGCGCCTGCATAGCCATTACGATACTAGTTAGGCTCCAACAGGTTAATAGAACTTTGATTGATTGATTGAAGACCGGGATATTGACTGTGAAGTTAAAGCAAATGCGTTTACCTTAGGTTACTTTTTATTTTCAATTATTGAAACGAGCAAGTGAGCACTAATTTGGCTACGCTCTAGCTCGTTGAGTTCCTGTCTTAAAATAAAGAGACAAGAGAATACGAGCTTTATGTGTTGCTGATAGTCTCTAAACCCCAGGCTTGTAAAATCATCACTTTTTCTAGCTAGAATAAACCTTGTTGAGTTTTACTTTCAGAGGAATTGCATCATTCAAACAACGAATCAAGCCTGCTCATGCGTGAGCAAGGTTGCGCAATTAACGCATGAACACTATGGCACCAGTATTTCTCATTGACAAGTTACTTGCGGCATCTTTCGCAATGCGGTTGGTCGCAGCGTTCAGCCGTGCCGACCTTAAGAACTCATTTGTTAAATATGATGGACAAGTGCCAAATTGAGGAAGTAGGTGAAGCCAACTGCACGGTTTGCAAGCTGCAAAGCTGCCTTATGTATCCTCAGCTGTAGAGATTACTCATACCAGATCGTGCATTTCGTCTCTGAAATTCTGCCCTCTTTGTTATTGCTGGCTTGATATAGAACGTTATGCAACCCCACGTAAATGCCTCTGAGCAAGGGTGGCGTCATAAAGTGTCCTTTCGGCCGATCTTCAATCTATTGGTCGTTCAAAACTTTTGTGCAAAAACGTCTTCTACGCTTGAACCTACATTTTGCACCATTTGGGCTCGGACCAATATCATTTACATGACAGAGATGCGTGACCAATATTGTATGGGAACTAGAACAGGAATATCAAACTCCCTAACTAAGCTGAAAACATGGAATTGGCAATTTTGTACAACATGCTAACAAAGAGTGATATCGGGTAAATACCCAGAAATGCACATGCAGATCCACCATATTTCTGACATTACATTATTCAGTACTATGGGCAAAAGGGCTTCTGCAGTCCCGGAACGAGGGGTAGAATCGAAAAGAAAAAAGAGAATGGAAACATCAAACCTAATCGAGCAGTGATATTTGTCAACATGTTCTTCTCCAGCCTGAAAACTCTCATATCATGTATCAGAAGTGATCACGGCTCGAGAACGCCGGATGTACTCATATTCCTTTCTAATCCGCTCTAATTTGTAGAACTTGTAGACCGTAAGAAGTGCTGAACAGACAAGAAGAGTTGCTCCTGTTACAGCGGTTGTTACAATAGCCATTACCGACCAATCCCCGCCTTGAGGCATATGCACGTTGATGAGAGTGGTCACCAGCCCGGCAGCAGCATGTAAGCATAGGGGCCTAGTACAGGGTTAGATTTGGATCTGGCTTCTCGAATTTCTCAAATTAGGATTTGCTTACTTACATAAACCGTTTGTTGATCAGCCATGGGTAGTTTCCCCCGAGTTTTGGGAAGTGCAGCAGCCGCATGAAAGCTGCAATGCCACTAACAAGGAAGCACGCAATGGCGAGTACAGGAAGGATGGATGGATGATTTCATTTACCCCGACCCCTCGCCGAAGTTGGATCCAGGTTATGTGATGTATTATAGGTCTGTAGGAGTGACTGCCTGTTAGGCTGCCACTCCGCTAGGCAGAAGGGAGATGAGTTGCTGCGACTATAAGTAGCTGGATCTTTCCCCATAGATTGAATATGATCATCACACGTGTACCTCAATCCAGGGTTTCAACTGCCGAAGCGATATGAAGGCTACCACAACTATGTAAATACATGTTTATTTGATCCACGGTGATTGTTCGAAACTTCCTGGACAGTGAACTTTGGGCCTCACCTGATAAGGCCTGTCGTGGCCTCGTTGCCGTTTGTGATGTTAGGTTGCCTTCATGGCGCGGCTGTAATGGATATGCGAATGGGATGGACAAAAACTGTCCGTATTTGGCTGCATTACTACTAGGAACCGTGAGAACGCTGGTAATGCCTAGTTTAAGAATCTGGACAACGACTGTGTCGCAGATGCGGGTTTGTTGCGGGCACAATTAGCTGGGCATTTCCTTGTCTTTTTATCAAGCTGGAATGGTGATGGCTTATCATGGAAACGACGATGAAGATCTTCAATGGTTAGTGTCGGTTTGGTGGGAGGGACCGGTTCGTGTTTTTTAGGAGTCGATTGCGGTGGAGATGTGGTAAGATGCTGAAGGACAGAGGCATAGGTTGGTTGTTGGCTATTTGGTGAGGGAGTTATGGTCGGTGTCGGTTGGAGAGGTCGGGGAGAGCAGGTTGTCGAGATAGATGCGATTCTGGATCGAGTATGACGGATGACGGTTTAGCACGGGATCGAGGTTGGTGTTCGAATATTTCTCCACTATAGTAGGTACCGTGGTGTTGATTGGGTTTGAGACTGTGTACTGAAGTCGGCGGTACGGTAGTCGTTTCGAGTTGTTCCCTGTCCGAAGAAAGATGGGGGCTAGGAGATGACTGTCTAGGCGAAGGTGATGCGGTGGTTGAGTAAGGGAGTGTGTCGGGGTTTCGAAGTGATGTTGTAAGTCACGACAGATGGCTTGCCATATGCAGTCTACCAAGTGTATTTGCTGCACCTCTTCGAAAGGGGCGCGCTGGAAGATGTATAGGGATTGGGCCGATTGACAGGCAAAGCAGCACGCCAGGCCGCCGAACCCTTGGTGAGGCTGGTGATATAAGCCATTCTGGGCCAGTTGAAGCGGAGTGACGCCAGTGAGCACTTGTCCTTGGAACGAAAGAGCTTTGGTGGCGATGGTGGAGTAGGTGGTTGAGATGGGGAATTGCGCCTGGACGTTGCGATGTAGGGTAGCTCGTTCGGGTGGAGATGGATGGGCGACGGAGGGTTGGGAAAGGCTTCTTGCCCGCCCCGCGGTCTGGAAGCTGAGAATTCATCCCTCTACATACAGAATCGTTGCAGTGGCACAGGTCCGCCCGGCGGTACATGATGGTTCGCCCAATTGTACAGTACGTCTCGAAACTCGGATGATACAGGATGGATCCGTTTGTTACCTGGTGCTATGTATGGGAAAAAAAGCTATTGTACTGTATGTAACCTTTCTTACCACCGCTTTTTTCACCATTCCGTTTATTCACCCCCCATTTATTCCCCTGCCCATTCAACCCCTGTTTATTCATTCGATCAGCACACCGCTCTGAGCCTCGGATTTGCTATGTTTGCCACTTAAGCATCGAAATAGACCTCACAAAACACGTTTAAACGAACACTCCGATTTTTTAACCGCATTAAACTAGAAGCAAACGAAAGGCTGGAACGACCGATAACCACTGTCTGACTGGGCTAATGATGAATGGACAGCTAGGCCAGATGCCGGTCGCGTCGGCTGATCTGATGCTACATAACTACATCACGAATGGTGATTTACTCTTTGAAATAACGCAGTACAAGCTTTTCGGCGAATTCTGTAATGGGTTTGACTAAATTTAACCCAGTCCCATTATTGGAGTAAAGCGATCAACGACGCTCAGACATTTCTCCTGTGAGGGGGTTCATACGGTGTTGGGTGTTCCATAGTGTTCCATTTTCAACGTTAAGTATCAATTTTGTAATAACATTTTAACTCCCGTAGAAAGTACGTCGCTGGAGGTGCTGGAATGAATCCACTCAATGGATATTGATCCCACTACTTCATATCGGTACGATAATTGTGGATTACTATCGGCGGCCCCAGATCCAGAGCTCCTGGGAACCACGTACCAAACTATCGGCAGGTCGCATTCTCGTGGTCGGCTGTCGGTGCGGCTGAGTCATGAACACAATAGCAACCTCCGATGCGTCGGATGTCACGATCTGTACTGTATCCGGCCAATTGGAGATATCAATGACTCTGTATTTCCATTACCCCTATTTCTCGCTAACTAACTTATTTATGGGTCCATTCTAGTTACGTAAGCTATGCCGACGGATCATCTATAGACCCGGTTTCATGCAGTATTCGTAAGGTAATTGCGACATCGGAAATGTTCCTATTCATTGGCGCACATCCTTCTGCCTTGATGAAATACTTCGCAGATTAATATCTCAGATCCTGGGGAAGTTCAAATACAGCCTAGCCTCATCGAGTCCCTTATCCGTATACTGCCCGGAAGCGATTAAAGTAGCTACCGGCTCATCGAAAATTTGATGTCATCATCAGGGGGAAAGTCATTTTCCATTCCAATTATTTTTCAAGAAATTTCACGCCCAATATAGTACGGGGCATTATAAGCCACAAATGGGTCCTCTGGCATTCCCAGCATAGAATGCCTGGTCCCTGGAACCGCAGGGGACTGAATTGGATAAGCAGGGCCATAGAACTGACTAGCACCAGGGGGAGGAGCGAAATAGTGCGCAAGGGCGTTAGGGCTCCTTGGCTTAGCCGGGTGGATCTCAACGAAGTCGCGCTTCCTCTTCAAACGCCTAGGAGAGACAGACATAGTAGAGTCAAAACTGGGTTGGTGCGGGAGTATTTGTTCTCTGGGTTTACTCTTCCCGATTTGACTTAGGACGGCGTGATAGCTCGATGCTAGATTTGGGAAGTGTCCACTAGGCGTAAATGCACCCTGAGGCGCATCCATAGCAGAGGCATATTCCGCGTATCCTATAGGTGTCTCCGTATCTCGGAAGGTGACCGGGATAGTGGAGCTACCGTCTCCGTTGCGTTTTTTGCTGATGTTTGTGTGGCCAGCGGTCCCTTCTGTTTCAGGAAAATTTGCACAAGAGATCGACGCCATCGTTTGTCCGTCTGCGGGAGAGATGTTAGCAGCATGAATAACCAAGCTTTTCTGTGAACGCATACTGGTTTTTCCGTCTAAGAATTGTTCTTCTTGTTCCCTGACTTGGTAGATCTCGTCTAGAATATGTAATCGCTCGGGTGGAGACAATTGATGACGAATCGACTGATCGAGTTCTTTCAGCTTTGCAACTGAGATCCCGTGACTGATGCGTAGCTCCTGAAGAATGTAAACCAGAAGCCGAATGCGTTCTATTTTAAAATTAGATATATCCTGGAGGTGAAAATGATGGCCTTTCTCTCCTACCAGCTTTAGGAAGATGATCTGGCTCCCGGTGGCTCACTTCAGAGGGCCACCATGGTGGTTTAGTCACATTATGATCAAGCTGTCTTGGGGTTCCCGCAACAATCTTTCGCCCATTGTATGGATAGTTCACCTGTTTGCGAGGCTCCACGAGCTTGATATAGGCTTTTGCAAGGGTTCGGCAATTTGTTTGTTGGAGATTCTCGAAGGCCTTTTCATAATATAAGGCCAGGAGATCTCGGTCCTCAACAGATATCATTGCTTTCTCAACACTCCTGTTTTTGTGCTCCTCATTGCATAAATCCTGGAATTTATGGATGGGGCCTTTAGTGGGCAAGAAGGGCCAAGACTGGCTGTAAACAGGCCATACCACAGGTTGAAAGGGAGTCGCCGCTAGGACAGGGTTTCCTATGTGCCCCTCATCCCCAAAACCCATTCCAACATAGGGGTTTTGAGTATTCTGTGATGAAGGGGAGAGACTGTTGCCCATGACCGTCGTTGATGGGGCAGGCGGCACTGTCATCCCTGGTTCAACTGATATTAGCCATTAGTTAAAATTATTGCGGGGATGAAAGTGATACTCACCTTGACCGTTTGAGAAGCAGGCTTCTCTTGTGACATCAATCGCTTCCAAAAATACATCCATCACCTTCATGGATAGTATCGCCGGGAGACTATCTGCGATTGACCCAGACGTTTGTAGACGAATTTGGCCATCCGCGTCAATATATATAAATAAAAATTGGGTGTAAGGCAACCTCTCCAATTTTTCCTCCGCTAACATGGTTGGCTGTGTCAAGCTACCGGTCAGCCTATTGAAATCAAACAATAAACCCAATAATTACCATACCATGAAACACGGATTCATGCTTGGAGGAGGTTGTCTTGGTTGGAAATTCAGTCTAGAAAACACTAAGCGCGGGATGCGACAATGGAAAACCGACACTTAGAAACCGTTGCTAGTGAATAATAGCGACGATTCTGTAAGTGTTGGGAAAAAGAAAGAAGAAGAGTGTGTCCACTGTCCAGATCCACAACAATCAGCGTACGGGATGTACCACAGATATTTATACCTAGCTGACAGGCGCCAGTCCTTGTCAGGTGTATGGTACGCTCACTAGCTCTGTCAAAACTGTCAAAACTGTGGAAAGATCCGCTTACTGACAGGGCACAATCCACTTATGGAGCTAATAACCAAAGTACTGGTGGTAACATAGCCGAATCAAAGTTTCTTCGAGTATGCAAAAGGTCCGGCCGTAATCCTCTATACCCTTAGCTTATCCACGCCTATCATCAGAAAAATTACCGCCACGGAAGCAGAATCGATGGCGTGTTTGTTGGCGTGCGATGGATTGGTTGCCTAGTGCCGCACGCAACGGGCCTGGAATGCGGATCACCCGTTAGGCGGGCGTAGGGGTTCATTGCAGACGAAAGCTCCACTGCCTTGTGCAGTTATGAATTTGATATTTTCCACAGCTTTTACAAAATCTCCTTGCGTCGGCGCACGCATGGGACGAATATGTTGAGCTGAAGGGTGCTAGGAAAAGGAATTAGTATATTGGCCCTTGAAGTCTCCAAGGGAAGGTCTTCCCACGCACGGATAAGAAAAAGGGTTGGACATCACTGTATATGTGATTCCCGTGTTTCCAATCTCCGTGCTACTTTCTGAGTTTAGACGATCGGGTTCTTCCGTTCATCTCACGTCGCGCTTCAACGGGTGGAAAAACTTCGCGAGTGTCGATCTACAATGTCCGAGCGGAAGCATGCATGTTTGAAGATAACTTAGTGATTTGTTGAGAATTGAGCAAAAGACTGCCCTTCATTGATGATCATCTAAGGCCTATACTAGTGGTACTTTGCGGCATTGTTGACGTTGACATTAAACGGCCCAAACGGTGGTTCGGAAAGCCAGACCACTCACCCCAGGTGTCTCTGGTTTTAATGGGCTGATCATTCTGTCGATCGTATCTAATTCTGATCGATGGTCATTTTGAGTGACAAACAACTGGCTACTGGAAACCGATGACAACTGATGATACTTTTACCTTTGTTGAGAAATTCGGCTTATATTTTTAAAGAATCACTGGTCGGCGAAGGAGACAGTCCACCTGCCAGATGTCGGCTGTGAGCTATCATATATGCCATATACGCTGGAAAAAGCAAAAACCCCCCACCACCCACGTTAGTCCATCAATCTGGAGCTAATTCTATACTAGGCCATGTCAATACGCAGTTCCTTTTGCGTAGAGATAAAAGAAGGAACAAATCCTAGGGGGAATAGCCGGCGAGTTATAGCGCGCGGAGTCATAGCCCATGCATCCGGGCCGTGCGCGAACTCACGGTTGTTATGTGCCTTCTTGCTTCGCGAGAGTGCAGCAGGGTACGCCACCGGCTCGCGTAATGAGCTTAGCTGGCGATCGGGTTCGTCCGTTAAGAGGATACTATCACACAAAACGCCACAGAGATTTAGGAGAACCCAAATATCATTAGTGTGAACCATGCCTTTCATAATGCTAGGAGAAAGGTGAGATTGCCCCTTAATCTATTAAAAGTGGCTACTTCGTCTTCCACCTCATATTTGAGAGACCGGTATACCAACCCTTGGCTCTAAAAGTCCGCAAAGATTCATTGTAAGGAATTTGCACCGGTGGGATCGTCGTCCGCGCTATGGCAGCCTGAAAGTTGAGATCCTGGCTTACCACAACAGGTGGAGCCACCTTTTCGGAGGACAATAAACAAAATCGCTGCAATCTTGCGAGGGGAGGCAGAGCTATTAGACAATTTACTTTCACAAAGGGGGAATCTCACGGTGGGCATACGCAGATGAGCCGAGCCTCGGTTTCTCTGGCCCTCCTCTCTGCCGGTGGAGCAGATTCACATCGTATCGAAGTAGGACCTGACGTTGAGTTTTAATATGCCACTAGAATTAGTGTGCTCTGGTGACGAATCTCCGGGCTTTCGGGTTCCCCATTATTGACCCTTGCCTAGATTTTTATTCCCGACTGACATCAGTCCAAATGGACACCTAGGAAAGCACTCAAACCTGGCCGCTGGTTTGAAATGGATAAGTCCCCATTCCCAATGCATATCGCTTAGCGAAATGATGCTGGAGGGATTGTAGAAAGCACTTCTCATATACAGACATATTTCATAATTATACAGGACGGATGTCTATCGCATACAGAATTTCCCCTAGGTCCCATTTTTTAAGTGAGACCAAAAGGGATTTCAATCCTTGTATAGTTACGTTGCCAGTTTCAGGTGTATGAATCAGAACTGCAGCTACTCCCAATTCAAACAGGGGTTAACCCGACCTCAAGTTGCCACTATATTCCCTGGATGGCCTGAGGGGTCTCGGCCAAGTAGGTCTGGACAGCCAGTGATACTCGTCCTTGTTTCTCATTGCGATCACGAATGGCACCCGACAGCGACCATACGGCCGAGCTGAGCACCCAGTTGCAGTCTGGTACTTCCTGGAGGTAGAAGCAGTGCTTGGGATTGTGTGGACCATAGCCGCAAAAGCTGCATTGGTCATTGATGCGCTGCTTCTCTGCTTCTCGGCATTCCCTCGCGTATTTGTAGATGTCCTTTCTTCTCGGCGGAGCTCCACGGGCACCGGTAGAGCTTCCATGGTCGGCGTGCTATCCGGGCGATGCTCCACCGCCTCTTCCACCACCTCCGCGTCCGCGGCCTCGCTGGCCGCCGCGGTTATTTCCTCGTTCACGGTCATGTTGGCTCCCTGATCCTCGGGCGCTCTGGCCATTCTGATTGGACGGTTCAGCAGCGGCGCTGGTGTTATTGTCGTCTTGGAGGTCAGTTCTGAATGGGTTCTGACGGGCCGAGTGGGTCTTGTTGGCTTTAACTGCAAGCTGACGTGCTTTGATCGTCATTTCTTTGCATTCTTGTCGAAGTCTTCGTGGGTAATTTCGTGGGGTTCTTTCACTTTCCGCAATGCTTCGCGCATAAAGACCATGTTCGGAAGCTCATCTTGGAGCTCTCGGACCATGATTCCGACTGAGATAAATGCTGGCGGCGCAATTTTGGATCGACGCGGTATGTTCATTTGTATCTGGTAGTCACTGATGTACTCTTCGGCTGAGCCATAGTGATCTCTCTTCATGTCATACAGCTTAAAAACATCGAGCAGGACGTTGCCCGAGGGGTCTCCATCTTGAGCATAGCTCACTAGCTCTTCGAAGAGCTGATCGGCATGCTCTGGGCGGTTGACCAGTCCACTCAGTCTGGTTCTAACTTCCCTTGTCAACCTGGAGGTACATCCATGCGGCTACAGATGAGGAACAGAAGTTCCATCTCCGGTAGAGCGGATCATCTTCTTTTGGTCTTGGCATCTTAGCGTCTATGAGGCCTCCAAGCATCATGGGCTGGAGAGAGTTCTCTACCAGCATCACCCAGTCCGACGAGTCTGTTTCTTCGCCGGTGAGCTTGTCAATGGAAGGCAGCTCACATTTCGTCATTTTCGGTAAACGGCTGCCTTGATGACGAGCGACGCCTGCAGATGCACTCACAGGCTCGTCATCGATGCCGGTAGTGATTCCTTTGACATCTTGAATGTGTGGGTAGCTTGTGTCGTCACCCGAAGCTCCATGGGATGTGCCGCGGTCCATGGCGGCAGACATTTCACTTTTGTTGTATTGTATTGTATTGTATAGCTCTATTATAGTCCGATGCAGCTTTCCCAAGGTCTTGCTAGGACGCAGACATTTCACTTGTTTTCGCGTTTTCTTCGTATTCGATTCCTTCGAGGATTCGGAGGTATGGGGCTCAGGGATGGGGCGGATTCACCGCTTCTGGTGAGTTGATCAGGCCCAACATCCGGCACGCGCGGCTTGCTTGGCGGCCCTGGATTGGATCCACGAAACTTGGCGCGTTGTAAATAGCCTAAAAAATCGAGCAGAGGGGTCATGACCTCTTGCCAGCAGGATGGGAAGCAATAATATATCAACGTTATTGGATAGTAAAAGAACAGGGAGAGAAAGAGAGACTCGATACGCGAGCTCTCTGGCTACCTAATGCTCAGTTCTATATAGGTCACGTGGCCCCAGGTCTCGACAATCCCTTGCCTGGCAAGTACGCAAAAGGTCCTTTGTTTGGCCAGGTAGACATTTTTATGTTATTGTCTACAAGGCTACGAAAGGCTGCTGGACAAGAACCTAGCACTATGCCATGATCTCCTTAAGGTATGAGAGGGATGGAGTGACTGCACAACTACCTGGATCTTATATGTTGAAATTTGAATGGAGAATACGATGAATGATGCTAGTACGCTTGTAGGTCAAGGCCAACGAGGTGGTTTAAGTCTGATCTCTCTCTCCATGAGAGAGAGATCCTATTTAATGAGAAGCATTTCTCCTGAACTATACTCTACATGGTAGGTCAATGCTGATCATGAGCTTCATGCTTGGCGAAGCAGGCATTTCATGCCTGGAGATGCCTGGAGAGGCCATGAATCTCAACATTATATAGTAAAAAGAAAAGGTCGGGAAGTATGTGGACATTGATTATGTTTACAGGTACAAATAGCGATTCTTGTGGCGTATTCTCATTTTGCCGGCTGCACTTACTAATTATCATCCCCTAGGTATGTTACGAGGGTTTGGAAGAGTTGGTTCCATCTAGGCCTTGCAAACCGCACCAAAAAAGATTTAGGTAATGGATTACCTAAATAGGTAAGGTTGCTGCACCACTACACCGGAACCAAAAATTTAGTACAGCTCCAATTGCCAAGGCCTAGGTCTGCCGTAGCAAGTGATACCTCTGCCTAAGCAGGTGATATCAGATCTACTAGTGTTGTTCAACAACTTTCACGTTGTGGGGGCCTTGGCAGGGAGCCACGTTGGGGAATGTAATTATAGATCATTGGCCCGAGCCAATAGCCGGGAAACTTTCGCCGGCGCATGGGCCGCGGTTGCATTTCCCGGCCAATAGCAATAATCTATATGTTGGTACAGCTCTCACTCTAATGCAGCAGTACGTATCAGGCAGGAGACCAGAACAATAGAGCATCAAAACAAATTAGGAGCCATAACAAATTAACGCCGTTCACCTCGTCTCCGCGGACCCCGGCTTGAGTGCATATTGAAACCGCCGGTAGAATTTCAGTTCCGCTGTTAGATTTATTGGGAGGGTCAAGTTGGCCAGCCATTTGAGGAGTCAGGTGTCAGTGGGTAGTTCGAGAAAACCGGTCTTATTCACTTTTGATTTCAGTCCCAAATAAGATGGTTTCTAGATGTATTTTTTTGGCCTGTTGGTTGCTCCTGTCCCCTAGATTCCACTGAACCGTTCTCGTGCAGCCTGGTTCCTGATGACGCTCAACATGGTGTCAGTCCTTAGAACAGGGACTGAAAAATTGCTGTTACGACCCCTACAACCACACACTACCCGAAGGGCAGAAACACACAACAGCGTAGCAATACCGTATCGTCATTGGCGTGTCAGCGCGTCTGCATTGAAAATCCCGACAAAGTCCCTTCCTGCATGGTATACTTTATTAAATGACAATGCTATGGGTCGGTCGGACTTTTTTCCCCCGTTGAATAGTCAAAGCGCTGAAATGCAAGGTGATGCACATCACTGGTGCGAACGGATGATGAGTTGCCTTGAAGTGTTGAAGAGATGGGTGTTATATTCTTTTAATTCTTGTATTTCGCATTTCTCAGATCATTTGCGAAATGAGAATTGTTTCATGCAAGGAATAGCTCGAAGGGGAGAATGGCAATTAAGGAGCTGCAGATTTTCAAAAGTATAAAAAGGTCATCGAACGGACTGCTTTCACATCTCCAAATACCGCCAATTGGTCAAACCTTGCAGTGAGGAAGTAGGATAAACAGAGCCGGGATGTCTGGGTGCAATAACTCCTATCTAGTGCCGTTCCCCGAACGGCCTCCCTCCTCCAAAGATTTCGTTCTACGTGACCATCAATTAGCGGAGCTTCTTCAGTCAATTGATCCTCCCGACCATCCTTTCTTGGACCACCCTTTCAGCAACTCTGAAGATTCATTAAGGAGAATCGCTCTCCGCTCTAGTCATCAGAGACCGAACCCCAAAGTTCCTATCCCTCGAACATCTACTAAAGTGAGCTGGACAAAAGGTGCCCGAGTCAGTCAAGCATGCAAAAGTTGCCGTGCGCCGAAGATCAAATGCAGCGGTCATCGGCCAGCCTGTCATAGATGTGTGGAGATTGGTATCGCCTGCCACTACGATGACCGAAAGCGAGAGAAGATCGACAAGTGCGTGGAGCAAATACTTTAAGCAGCACATCAATTGCTAACGGGGATCATTAGGCAGCTCAGCAATCTGAACGTACAGCTTGGCATGTTAGAAGATCTGTTGCGTGACCTCTATCCAAGACTCGACATCCAATCTGCCCAGCATGTTGACCGAACCCTGGGTAAAGTGAGCTCAGCCCCCCC